AGAATGAAATCTTTCTTGTAGTGGAAGGATCATGCTAGGTTTACTGTACCACCCTCTCTCAGGAAACAAGAGGCGGAGAAGAACGTGCCAGTTTGGAGTTTAAGAATCCCTCTGTTATCTGATACCTTACAGGTAGTAGCTGCAGAGGGCCAGGAGAATGGGCAAAGGGAGGAAGAGGAAGAGGAGAAGGAGCCTGAAGCAGAACCCCCTCTACCTCCCCAGGTTTCAGTAGAGGTCGCCTTGCCCCCACCTGTGGAGCATGAAGTAAAGAAAGGTGGGTGAAGCGTGCAGCTCCCTGAATTCCCAGAGCATTTTATTTGGACCTCTTTTAAAGCATTTAATGTTTTCTGCCTTTTATTATAGTGTTTTTGCATCGCTGTTTTATCTCCCTCTTTTAGTTACTGAGCTACTTGAGAGTTAGGTTAGAATCTTTGACTCTCCATAGTGAGGAGCTTTAGCCTAGACAATACCTTGCACACTGTAGATGCTCAGCACAGTTAGGTGGAGCAGTGCTTGGTAGGGAATGAGAGAAAGGCATAGCAGAGGTGAGAGAGCCAGCATTGCTCCCTGCTGAAAACTGTTCATGTGCTCTTTTTGATAGTGACTTTAGGAGATACCTTAACTCGACGTTCCATTAGCCAGCAAAAGTCTGGAGTTTCCATTACAATTGATGACCCAGTCCGAACTGCTCAGGTGCCCTCCCCTCCCCGGGGCAAGATCAATAACATCGTCCACATCTCCAATTTGGTGAGTCGGAGTCATTTCCCACAGCCCAGCCTTGTTTAGTGGTTAAAGAGCTTGAGTTTTGGATTCCTGTTACTGAACTTCAACTCCTAGATCTGCCAGTTACTCACTCACTGAGCAACTGACCTCATCTCTCACAACCAGTCTCCTCATCTGAAAAATGGGGACAAAGTATCAGCCTGCAGGGTTGTCTGGAGGATTTGTGGAGGGCCTGGCACGTAGTGTCTCCGTTAGTGTCTCTGTTAGTGTTACCGTTCTTCGCTCCTCTCTCATTCCCACGGGAGAGTTCCTGACCCCTCTGTGCCCATACTCTGAAGCTGTACTCCTGTGCCCGATACTTGGGGAATCTGAAGACTGGTTGCAGGAGTATTGTTCTTGCCTTCTTCAAGACTCAGAAACTCCCATTTTCCTTGGCAGGTGCGTCCCTTCACTTTAGGCCAACTAAAGGAATTGTTGGGCCGGACGGGAACTCTGGTGGAAGAGGCCTTCTGGATTGACAAGATCAAATCTCACTGCTTTGTCACGGTGAGGGGAGGAAGCTGATTCTCTAGGTCGTGGCACACATTTCCTTTTGTAACCAACGTGGGCAAGTTCAAGGGCCTTTGTGGCAAGTGGGAGGGATTGAGGCCTGTTGTGACCCTCTGCCTTCTGCCTTCCTCCACCAGTACTCAACAGTAGAGGAAGCAGTTGCCACCCGCACAGCGCTACATGGGGTCAAATGGCCCCAGTCCAATCCCAAATTCCTTTGTGCTGACTATGCTGAGCAAGATGAGGTAAGAAACCTAGGGAAAGGAAGGAGGGGGAGGGGCAGGGGAGGCCATTATCTGCTAGAATCCAGCTGAGATCCTGGCCAAACCTGCAGCCACCGAGATTCCTTCTCCCTCTTCCTACCCCTTGGTTCTTTGCGTTGAACCATGGGGCTCCAGAACCTGTATGCCCTGGTACCTGGGCTCCTTCAGTGGGACTGTTATCCTCTCCGCCCTGACTGTCCTTGTCCCTCCTCTACCCACAGCTGGATTATCACCGGGGCCTCTTGGTGGACCGTCCCTCTGAAACTAAGACAGAGGAGCAGGGGGTACCACGGCCCCTGCACCCCCCGCCCCCACCCCCAGCCCAGCCACCACAGCACCCCCGGGCAGAGCAGCGGGAGCAGGAGCGGGCGGTGCGGGAACAGTGGGCAGAGCGGGAACGGGAAATGGAGCGGCGGGAGCGAACTCGATCAGAGCGTGAATGGGATCGGGACAAAGTTCGAGAAGGTCCCCGTTCCCGATCACGGTCCCGTGACCGCCGCCGCAAGGAACGTGCGAAGTCTAAAGAAAAGAAGAGTGAGAAGAAAGGTACTTAGCTGTGGGGACACACGTACCTGTTAATAGGTGGGAAAGGAACCCAAATGGGCTGGGACACACAGGGTCGTAGGGCATAAGGTCTGATTCACTTTCTTCCACCTCAGAGAAAGCTCAGGAGGAACCGCCTGCCAAGCTGCTGGATGACCTTTTCCGTAAGACCAAGGCAGCTCCCTGCATCTATTGGCTCCCGCTGACTGACAGCCAGGTGAGTGCTCACTTCATGCTCCGCTCTGAGTAGCAGCCAGGCTTGACAGCAGTGCAAGGGGGAGAGTCACTTGACTACTGGTGTGCGAAGGCCCAGGTATTGGCTTAGGATTAGGGAAGAAACTAAGCATCACGGAAAGGCAGTTTTAAGAACCAGGTGACGGTACGCCATAGAGAAGCCAAACCCAAGAGTGCCAAGGTCAACACAAAGACAGGAACTGGGCTTGTGTGTCTAGGAAGCTGTCTGTGCCAACCATCCTTCTCGGAAATTGATTTCAGTTAGCTGAGAAACCATTTCTCTGCTTTTTTATTTCTAGGATATTTTGCCTTTTTTTTTTTTTTTTCCCAATTTTATTTATTTGGTGAGTAATCTACACCAAATGTGGGGCTCGAACTTAACAACCCCAAGGTCAAGAATTGCATGCTCTTCCAACTGAGCCAGCCAGGCACCCCTAGGATTTTTTGCTTTTTAAATTTAAGTTTCTTCGTAATGGGCCTTTTTGGGAATTTGAGGCTGATGTACTCGGCTAAAGGGAAAAGTGGTTTGTTCACGTCTTAAGTAGCTGGGGAAATACCAGAGGCGAGGCACGGATGGTGCCACTGCCTGTCGAGGGTATAAAAGGCGAACACCTGGAGGGATTGGGACCCGGAGACAAAGACAGGTGCGATTGCTGACAACCCCCTTCCTGCTTAACAGCAAAGCTGGTGATGATCCTGAGCTAGGGCAGGGCCCAGGGACATACAGACAAGGCGGGACGGGCGTGCGCGGGGCTGAGATGCCTCTTCTCTGCCTTTGCTGCCTGCTGCAGATTGTTCAGAAGGAGGCTGAGCGGGCTGAACGGGCCAAGGAGCGGGAGAAGCGGCGAAAGGAGCAAGAAGAGGAAGAGCAAAAGGAGCGGGAGAAGGAAGCAGAACGGGAACGGAACCGGCAGCTGGAGCGGGAGAAGCGTCGAGAGCACAGCCGAGAGAGGGACAGGGAGAGAGAGAGGGAAAGGGAGCGTGACAGGGGTGATCGGGAGAGGGAGAGGGAGAGGGACCGGGAGCGAGGCAGGGAGAGGGACCGCAGAGACACCAAGCGCCACAGCAGGAGCCGGAGTCGGAGCACGCCTGTGCGGGACCGGGGTGGGCGCCGCTAGCCGGGAACGCACGAGCGAGAGCTGCAGGCATCAGCCACCCTGCCCTGGGGGGTTCGAGGCCACAGAGGGATAGGTACAATCTCCACCGCCCTAGAACCAGGGGTCTTTCACACCATTTACCCAGTGCTCAAGTATGGCTGCCACCTGTCCCCACATACCAAATGGAGCCGTGGCCGTCTTTCCCCCCAGAGCCCCACCCCCATAACCTATCTCTTGGGAGTTAGCCCTCTCCTCACTCTTCCTTTCCCACTGTTGAGTCTGAGAGGCAAGAGCTAGGTTAGGGAGGGAGGTGGTTGGCCCAGAGGTGGGGAACAGCCAAGAGCCCCAGACCTCTCATTTTTCCTCCATCCTGCTCACCACCTCCTTTGGGTACTCACAACCCCCTCTTGGGAACAGCCGGGGCCAGGACTGGGTCACCTATGAGCTGAATCAGCATCTCCTCCTGAGTCCCAGGGCCCCTGCGGTTCCCAGTCTCTTCTGTCCTGCAGCCCTTGCCTTCTGCCCACCGGTTCCACTTTATATCCACCTTTTCCTTTTGTTCAATTTTTATTTTTATTTTTTTTATTATTAAATGATGTGGTCTATGGAAAATAATAAAAATCTGACTTAGTTTTAACTAGTGTGTGACTGGCTTTCCTTGGGCAGGGCCTGGGGGAGAGCCAAGCAGTTGAAGACGGCAGTAGCACGGAGGCACCATTGCCTGCACTCCATACACTTTAGGCAGGCTGCTGCTTCCTGGAGCAGGGACTTCCCGCCCTCCATCTCTGTCTTGGCTCTACCCACGTCACCACGGAGCATCGTCTTCACTGGAGGCCAGAGGGGAAGACCCCTGGGAAGAGGAGGGTCCCTGTCCCGGTTCCCAGGGCGTTGGGTCACCTGCTCGCCACCTTCAAGGCGCCTCCCACAGCGGCCGCCAGGGGGCAGCAGCCGCCCGCTGAGTGGGCGCCCTGTAAATGAGCTTCCCAAAAAGGCTCCACTCCCCGCCGCCGTCCCCTCCCGCTGCTGTTGTGCTTCGGTCCCTGACCTGCTGCCTGGGCCCAGCCCGCGGACTCCCCGGGCCCTTCTGCCGGCCTTAAGCGCTCCCCAGTCGGCCGGCTGTGGTGCCCCGCACCGGCTCCCCAGATGCCGCCTCCTTGCGGCCGGGGTTCACAGCAGCCCCAGAGGCCGCTCCGGGAGCGGGAGCCGGAGCCGGGCCTCTCCGCAGCCGACTCCTAATTCCCCGCCTCACCGCGCGCTCGCCCTTCGCCCCGCGGCGTGGGGGCGTGCGGGGCCGCTCGGCGCTCCCGCCCGCACCGTCCCCGCCAACCCTTCGGAGACGGCCTGGCGCCGGGGCCTGGGCGTCCTCCCGCCCGAGTGCCCCGCCGGGCGCTGCGGGCCCGGCCCGGGAGGGGCGCCGCATCTGTATGCGCCCGGCGGCCCGGCAGCGCCGCCGCCGCCCCCGCCGCGCGGGCCCGGGCTGGCCGGGGAGGGTCGGAGGCTGGGCTCTCTCCCGCGCGCCGCGGAGCCGCCTCGCTCCTCCGCAGGCGGAGCCTCCTTCCCCCGCCCCCTCCGTCTCGCTCCCTTGTTCTCGCCGGGGCCGCTCAGACCTGCAGCGGAGCCGCGGCGCCCGCTCCGATCGGCTCAGGGCTGCGCCCCCGGGACCCGGCGACGGGGGCGGGCGGGGACGCTCCCCGCCGCCCTGGGCCCCTCGGCACTGCCAGGTAAGGGCGCCTGCCCCGGAGCCCGGGGTCGGGAACCCGCGGAGGGGCAGCAGGGGGCCCGCAGCCTGCGGGTGTCTTCAGAGCGGGGCGCTCCGCGGCTAGGAGCCCACTGCCGGCTCCCTTCTCCCGCGCTCTACCTCTTCCCCTCTTCCCTCGCACCTCTCTTCCTCCTTTCCCCATTTTCCTCTCCCTCGGTTTCTCTTCACCCTGCCTTCTCTCTGCCTGTTTGCCTCCTCTGCCCCTTCCCTCTCCCTCTTGCCCTTTCTCCACCTCCTCTTCGTCTTTGCCCTTTCCTTTCCCGACCTTTCCTTTCCTGTCTTTCCCTTTGCCTTTTCCCGCCCTCCTTTCCTTCCCCCGTCTCTTCCCTCTCACCTCCTCTTCCCTTCCCGCTATCCGGTTTCCCACTCCTCCAGCCCTTTCCTTCTCCTTCTCGTCCCGCCTCCCGCTCCGGTCCCCGGCTTCCCTCCGGCTTCCCTCCTCCCTCGCGAGGGAAAGGACTGGCAGGTGTGTGTCTGCTCTGGGGGAGGAGGGGTGGCAGCCACAGCTACCTGAGGGGGTACCCCCCCGCAGGAGGTAAGGGAGGAGACAGCAATGGGAAGGGTCCCCTCTCCAGCTCCCTTCCCGAAGCCCCTCCTGGCTGCCCCCTCTCTCAGACTGAAGTTCCCCGAGGCCTGCTCTGACCCCCGCAGCTGAGGGCTGCCCCCCGCCTGCCCATCACTCCCAGCAAGCCCCTCTGCCCCCCTCCTACCATTCCCAAGCCTGTTACCTATGACTCCTCTGCCTGTCAGACACCCAGGCTGCCTCCTTTGATCTCTTTCCTTGTGTCTCTTGCTGCCATTCTGTCTCAGTCTGTGCCGGACAGGGCCTGAGTCTGGGTCTCACCATCACTAACACTGAGTCTGTAGTCTCTGCTCTCCTCTCCCAGCCTGCTGGCCCTGCCCCCAGCTCTACATCCTCTTTTTTCGGCTCCGGCGCCCCCCCCCCCACTCTGCCTCCTGAGCCCAGTCCCCCTTCAAGGACTTCAGCTGGCAATGTGGGCTGGGGGTAGGTTCCGGAGAGGTGGGGTTCGCTGTGTAGGAGAGACTTGCACAGGCTCTCAACCCTGTCTTAGGCTGCACGCCTTGTCATGGCTCAGCCTGACCCCAGACACCCTGACACCACACCTCCGCGAGTCCCAGCCCCTGGATTCTAAGCCCTTTCCCTGGTAGTCCCCAACTCCTCCAGCCCCCTGGCTGCATACCCAACCTGGGAGAAGAGGGGCCAGATCTGGGGTTCCAAACCTTCCCCGAATCCCCCCTCCTGTTTTCTTCCCCAGCTTCCCTACTCAGAGTTGACTGGCCAGAGATTTATCAGCTTGTAGGGCTGGAGGTGAATACAGGCAGAGCCTGGGTGGAGGGAAGGATCAGACTGTCTGCTCTGTCTCAGTCTGGGTTCTGGGCAGTGGGGTGTCTGGTTCCTTGGAGGTCTGATCTTCAGTATCTAACTTTAGTTGGGGGCCGGGGAGAGTTAAGGGTTTCCTTGACCCTGAACAGCTACCTGTCCCTACAGGTGTGGATCCATGGGGTAGCCCCAACGCATCTGCCCTTCTGCCCCAGCCAGCTCATGCCTCAGTACCTGGGGACAGTGAACAGAGCCCTGGCTGGAGCCCAAACATGTGGGGCCTGGTGAGGCTCCTGCTGGCCTGGCTGGGTGGCTGGGGCTGCATGGGGCGCCTGGCAGCCCCCGCCCGGGCCTGGGCAGGGTCCCGGGGGCGCCCAGGACCAGTGCTGCTGCGGAACCGAAGGAGCTGGGTGTGGAACCAGTTCTTTGTCATTGAGGAATATGCAGGTCCAGAGCCCGTCCTTATTGGTAAGGTAAGGATCAGCCCTTCCCAGGTCTGCCTTGACTCTCGAGGCCCTTAGGCCCTGCCCTGCAACTTCATCACTTCTTCACTGACCTTGGTCCCTCAAGACTCCCAACACTCCACCCACTCATAGACTTAGACTCTTTAACCTTTCTGTCCCTATGCTTGGAACCTGCTGTCATTTTTCCCTGACCCCTACAGCTGCACTCGGATGTGGACAGGGGCGAGGGCCGCACCAAGTACCTGCTGACCGGGGAGGGGGCAGGCACTGTATTTGTGATTGATGAGGCCACAGGCAATATCCATGTCACCAAGAGCCTGGACCGGGAGGAGAAGGCACAATACGTGCTGCTTGCCCAAGCCGTGGACCGAGCCTCAAACCGGCCTCTGGAGCCCCCGTCAGAGTTTATCATCAAGGTGCAAGACATTAATGACAACCCACCCATCTTTCCCCTCGGGCCCTACCACGCCACAGTGCCCGAGATGTCCAATGTCGGTGAGTACCCCAACTCTGACCATCCCAGATCCCGTCTCCTGGAGCACCCTCTCCTCTCCTTCCCGCATTGCTCTTGTGTCTGGGTCCCCCTCATTTGCTGTTCTTTCCCACCTGGCCCTGCCCCTGCTGAGTGGGGTGCCGGGATCCCCCACAGGGACGTCAGTGATCCAGGTGACTGCTCACGATGCCGATGACCCCAGCTACGGAAATAGTGCCAAGCTGGTGTACACCGTGTTGGACGGACTGCCTTTCTTCTCTGTGGACCCCCAGACGGGTGAGGATAGAGCTCGGAGCCTGGTGGGGCAGCCATGCGAACAGGCACCCCCTGACCCGTGTCTCTCCCTAGGAGTGGTGCGTACTGCCATCCCCAACATGGACCGGGAGACGCAGGAGGAGTTCTTGGTGGTGATTCAGGCCAAGGACATGGGTGGCCACATGGGGGGGCTGTCGGGCAGCACTACGGTGACGGTCACCCTCAGCGATGTCAACGACAACCCCCCCAAGTTCCCTCAGAGTAAGGGGCCAGTGCTGCCACCCGGGCCATCCTTTGCCTGCCCCCACCCCCTACAGCCTCTGGAGAGGCCTTCCCTCTCCAGCCCTCCCCCACCCAGACCCCAGGAGAAGGGAGTGCTGCGAGAGGGAGGAGGGCTAGGGACCTAAGATGTCTCCCCTCCGTCCCCCCTCAAGGCCTATACCAGTTCTCTGTGGTGGAGACGGCTGGGCCGGGCACCCTGGTGGGCCGGCTGCGAGCCCAGGACCCGGATCTGGGGGACAACGCCCTCATGGCGTACAGCATCCTGGACGGAGAGGGGTCCGAAGCCTTCAGCATCAGCACAGACTCCCAGGGTCGAGACGGGCTCCTCACGGTCCGCAAGGTTAGCCTCCTGTCTGCTAACACTTGCACATTCACTCACACCTGCCTCTTGGCCCACAAGGCTCACTTCTAACTGGTCTAGAACAGACTCGGGACCACTGGGTTGGAGCTTAGAGATCATGGTCATCTCGTCCTCTTTCAGATGAGGGACTGGGGCCCAGCAAGGGGGAGAGATTGGCTCGGAACTTTTCGTGTAGCCAGTCTATGATGGAGCTGGGGGCAGACCTAGGGTCACAGACTAAGTAATCTGCCTCACCCTGACCACTGTGGCCACTGCCCCTCAGTGCCCACCTCTCGTCTCAGGTGGGCTGAGCACTGGACGCGTGGGGAGGGGACCTCTCACATTCCAGGAGCTTGGGCCTGCCCTGGTTTCCACGTGCCTCAGTCACTCCACCTCTTCTCCCCATAGCCCCTAGACTTCGAGACCCGACGCTCCTATTCCTTCCGCGTGGAGGCCACCAACACCCTCATCGACCCAGCCTACCTGCGGCGAGGGCCCTTCAAGGACGTGGCCTCCGTGCGCGTGGCTGTGCAGGACGCCCCAGAGCCACCTGCCTTCACCCAGGCTGCCTATCACCTGGCAGTGGCTGAGAACAAAGCTCCCGGGACGCTGGTGGGCCAGGTCTCAGCGGCAGACCTGGATTCCCCAGCCAGCCCAATCAGGTGAGCTGGGGTGTGGGCAGGGGAAGGGAAGGGCCTCAGGGAAGGAGCCCAGTGGCAGGCTAGTCCCACTGAGGATGGATGTCCTTCACCGAAAATCCCACTCACCTCCTGGCGGAGGTCTCCCTCTCTGCAGGGCTGAGGGCCAGGGAAGGCCTGGAGGACCGGGCTAGCAGCCCGCCCCCTGCCGGCTCCACCCATCCCTCTGGGAAGATAGCAGTGGCGCCTCCCAGTGGTGGTGCAGGCAGATGCAGGCTCATGTGATGAGTGTGTTGCTGGATGGCGGGCTACCACTGTCGGTCACTCCCTCAGCGCTGCACATTTTACCCACTCGGTAACATTCAGTTCTCACAACAGCCTTGTGAAGTAGGCACGATCAGCCCCAGTTGTTTTAGAGGCCAGGCCCCGACAGGTTAAGTTCCTTGTCCAAGGTCACATAGTCAGGAAGCAGCAGAGCTGGGACATGAATGCAGATTTGTCTGCCTTGAGAAGAGCCACTCTTTCCACCTTTCAGCAGCCCCGTCACAGGAATGAGGGAGGTGCTGGTGTCATTCCCATTTTGTAGTTAAGTAAACAGAGGTTAAACGATTCACCCAAGATCACACCGCTGGTCTGAGGCAGAGCAAGCCTGGGGTCCCTGGGTCCCTAGAATAGAGCCCAGAACTCAGAAAGACAGGCTGTTTACCCCCACTTCCACCTGTTTCTGTCTCTCCCCCACCATGAAACCCAGTCCCCCTGAGTCTTAGGACAGCTGTTTAATGTTGGTAACTTCCCCAAGCGACTTGTCTCTTAAGGGGACCCTAATGTGAGCTATGGCTCTGGGTACCCGGGGCAGGCTCAGCCCAGCGAGCCTGGGCTCTCTGCCCAGAAGAACCAAGAGGCCCAGCAAGGCGAACAGAAGGGAGGGAGAGGTAGCAGCAAGCTCTGGCCCTGCCCCTAGATCAGCCCCCAGCTCCGCTCCATCTTCCCCAGATACTCCATCCTCCCCCACTCGGATCCAGAGCGCTGCTTCTCCATCGAGCCCGAAGATGGCACCATCCGCACGGTGGTGCCCCTGGACCGCGAGGCTCGCATCTGGCACAACCTCACAGTGTTGGCCACGGAGCTTGGTGAGGAGCCCTAGGCCCCCAGGAGAGGGAGAAGGCAAGCAGCCACCTGGCAGAGGAGCTGTCCCTGAGCAGGGAGGGGTGGGGGGCGGTCGGCCGTCACTGCCACCATGCCTCACCAGTGTATAGCGCTGGCTTCCCAGCCTGGATCACCACCACCAGGCAGGCCTCCTGGTCTCTGAGGCTGGGCTGGCCTGGGCACAGTGGATCTGCCTGCGCATTCCCCTGACTTGAAATTCATTCCCATACCTGACTTTCCCCAACTGGGAAACAAACCTAATCTCAAATAGTTCCTAAGCCCTAGGAAGCCCCAATCTGTACCCTGGCAGACCCTGCCCTGCCCACTGTCCACTTCAGGCTGAAGCCAGGGGCCAGGGCAGGGCTGGGCCCCTCCTCTGGAGGCTGACTGGGGAGCTCCAGCAGCCCCTCCCAGGGACACCCTGCGGAGAGCCTTCAAGGTAGGGGAGAGGGGCCAGCCCTGCCCGTTAGCCCCCAGTCACCAGCAGCATGCTTTGGCTGCCTGTGGGCGGCCGTGGCCCATGGAGGCGGGGAGACCTCCGTCCCCTCTGTGAACCTCCCCTATCACTCCTGCTCACGCCCCAGGGCCTCCTCCATTTGCTGTCTGTGTCCTGTCTATGGAAACTGTCGCTGTGTGCACAGATGTTTGTACGTGGCAGCGAAGAGCTCTATGTATGTGTACATGTGAGTGTGTACCTACATGTGTGTATAATTCCATGTGTGTGACAATACACACACGTAGTGTGTGCGTGCGTGTGGCTGAGCGGGTAGAATGTCTGCGCGAACGTATAATTAGGTGTGTGTAAGGGTAGGTGCGGGTACGGCTGTCGGGTATGTCGTTCGTGTACGTGAGCGCTCGTGGGCAGAGCACTTACTACACGTCGTGTACCAGGTACTGTTCTAAGTACCAAATGTGGGTCAATTAGTGTAATCACCACCACAACTTTATGAGGGCGGTATGATTATTTCCCCATTCGACAATAAGGAAACTCGGACAAAGAGAAGTGAAGTAACTCCCCAAGCTCATGCCGACGTGACGGGGCAGAGCCATGAGACCCCGTAAGGCTGCAGAGTCGCAGCACTTATCCCCTCCACCACGGTGCCTCTCACGTGCGGCAGTTCATGTGTACGGGCTCATGTTTCTGTTCCTGTAGCTGTGTGTTACATGATGTTGCCTGTGCGCCCGTCCGCGTGAATGTCCCTGTGTGTATATAGTGTTTGGAGTCGCCTGTGTGTACGTAGCCAGCCATCTATGTCGTGTGTGTGTGTGTGTGTGTGTGTGTGTGTCTTTCCCTCCCTGCCTTCTCACCCTCCCACCAAATCCTGCTCTCCAGCAAACCCCAAGATCAACTAGCAGGCCCTGGGCCCTTACTGCAGAGAAGGAAGGGAGCCCTGAACCCTTGGCCAGGGAGCCCACTCAGCCTCTCTTGCCCAGGCTGGGACCTCGGCCCCTTCCCCGGGGCCAGCCAGCTCCCTCCCCACCTGGGAGAGGACTAAAGAATCTGGGAGGCTCAGCCAGCGGAGGTGAGCTCCAGGGTGGGCAGGGATACCTGTTTTCCATTCTTTCTTGGATGGCATTGGCAATGAGGAGCAAGTCAGGGTAATGACTGGGAGCCACCTGATGAAGGGTTGCATGAAGAAGGGGGCCTGTGTCTGGCTGTGGCACCCAGGCTGGCCTGGCTCCCCAAGGCCAACTCTAAGTGCTACTCACTGCTATTCCATAGCCTTCCAACTGCTGATGGGGCGTGTGTGTGTGTGTGTGTGTGTGTGTGTGTGTGTGTGTGTGTCTGTCTGTCTGTCTGTCTGTCTGTCTGTCTCTGTCTC